TACAGGGCAAGAAGCAAGACATTGTAGGTAGTGGGAATGATCTGATCCAAGGTGTAGTTAAGAAAGAGCTTCGTATGTGGGGTGAGGGATGGCAGGAAGACAGAGATAGCTCCCAGGCCTATCTGGACAGAGGAGGTATGCTGGCGATCCTGGGAAAAGAGGCTGGAGATAAAGGGTCAGGCCATATTAGGGAAACTGGACAGACAAAGGAATCCAGGCTTGCTGGGGTGCGAAGTGGGGAACTATTGTAAATTGAGTTAGGGAGTAACATGAAGAAATATTTTGAGATTTTCCTATTTTGCCAGTCGGTTGCTTTGCAATTATTCCTAAATCACTTCACCTGGAACAGTTATTGATCCCTGAGTAAAACAAACCTCTTAAGGACAGAACAGAGTTGCCCATTCCTGGCACCTCTTGAATAACTGGTATTGAGCATTGCACCCTGTCCCAGGGCTGAATGACAGCGCTCGGCTGCACCTGCCTCCTGCACTTGACCAGACAACCTAGCTGCTACCCTTGCATCAGAACCTGCTCCACTGAATGCTGTTTGAATCTCCACCTGGGCCTGATGAACAATGGCATGGTCCTTGCTCGTTGCAACATTAAATGGACCAAGGCAAGCAGATTCCAGAGGAACACAATGTGAATGAGTCAGCCTGGTTTTGGGAACCACAGGGCTGGGGTCTAGAGTCCACTCCATGTCTCACTCACCAGGGGTGACTCAAGGCCTTCTCACAGGTGTACCGCTCATTCGGATCCTTCTCGAGCAAGTGGCAAATAAAGTCCTTGGCTAAGGGGAGCAATCAAAGACACGACGACTAAGGACCAGATTTCATGACTGATGGAAATTCACTTCCGGGCTGGTGGGTGGCAGTGAATGCATCTTTAGCTGATCTTCCAAAGAGGCAATTTTAAGAGTCTTAGAAGAGGAAAAAAAAAATCCAAACCACCTAACAACAACCCACTATAAACCACCAAAGAAGGGAAGCTACAAGCCGCCTCACCCACACAGCACTGCAGAAGCATCACTGGTCACGAGGCCCCCATGTGCCTGCACACCACATGTGCATGTGTTTGCATGGAAACAGGAAACAGCACTGGCACATGGGCACACATGTGAGTGCTGGATTGTTCCAGCTCCAATTTCCACTTAACAGGTCCAGCAATCACGTAATGATCATCTTCTCTCACACACAGACATTGCATGGTCTTTCTTGGTATCTAACCCCTTGGTTTTGCTGCTCTTGCCTGGAACTCTCCCCTCACCACCTGGCTCTGCCCTCCTGGCCCCGCATCTGAACTGCCCCCGCTCCCCCCGCCATCTCCTTATCAGGCATACTGTGGTTCTGCCCCCAGAAAAACAAAAGCATAGCCCTTAGAAGTAAATAATTTATTGGGTCTTTGAAGCAGATGAAGATTTCTCCACTTTCCTTGGCAGCCTGTTCTGTAAGATCCCCAGGACTTTGAAGAGCCAGGACTGTCACCCTTTGTTAAGCTCATTTCTCCTGCCTGGCAGCCTCTACCTTGAGCCTATTATCTCTCCTTCACGCCTACTGGCCTTACCTGACTCAGAAATGTCATCCCAGAATGGAGACTCAAACTCATAGTAGCCCTCCTTGATCTTCTCGAAAAGCTTAGACTCCGTTTCTTCGTAGAACGGGGGGTATCCACAGAGCCTGCAGCAGGACAGGAAGGAGGTACACTACTGAAAAACCTGTCCTCCCTGAGCCAGCCTCTCTGCTCCCCCAGGCTCCCACTGTATACACAGGTGGGCAATGAAGGTCTCAGAACAGCAGTATGACCAGGACACGGATCTGCCTCAAATTCAAGAATGGTACAGGTCCCATGAAGTGTTTATGCAAGTGCCAAGCCTTGGCACAGGCATCCCTAGACGGTCTCTGCGTACATTATGCCCTCAAACCCTTGCCACCTCTCCTTGTACTTTCCCTGACTCATGAATGCTATATAAAATATCTTTAAGAAAGATGGGGTAGACTGTCTACTTGATTGTAAGTTTGATGAAGGATTTATTTAGGCTGCGTTGTTCGCTGCTGGATTCTTTAGAACCTAGCACAGGGATAGATGCAGAGTAGATAGGCAGCGAATATTGGTTGAGCAAATAAATGAGAGTACTTATTCAACATAAATGGAGGAGATAATTGAAACCAGGTTATTTTCCTAAGAGCAAAGTTTACTGTAGGTGAGGAGGGATGGTGGGGAAGAGGTGATGGGCAGGTTAGGAAAGGGAGAGCTTGGGAATGTGTGGAGAGGAGCGAAAAGGTGAGGCCCTGACCAGCTTCATCCAGGCAATGGTTTTGCCTTGGGAAAGAAAGCTGAGATGCAGGAACAGTGGGTCCGCCTGACTTCCAAGACTGGCTTGGCCTCTCTCTTTTTCACTGTTCATTCCACAGAGTGGGATCCAACACATTTATAGGCAGTAAATGGGGCAGGGGTGCAAGAGGAGGGAGTGACAGGTGGCTGTGCAGTGGATTCATGCTGAACTCTGTTTTAAAATTCAGTGGAGGTCAAGAGAGAGGAAGCTTTTAAGCTTCGTGTACATGCATATGTGTGTGTGTGTGTTTGTGTGTGTGTGTGTGTGTGTGCATGCACCCGTGTGCCTGTGTCTGTTTGTGCACATGCACATGCTTGGAAGAGGAGCTGAGACAGGGGAGGGAATGAGAAGGGGTAAGCAGGCTCCGAGATTTCTCAGCAGCTGAGCCCAGGCCAGCGTCTACTCACAATATGTAGGTGATGACACCGATGGACCAGCAATCCACAGCCTTGCTGTAGGGTTTCTGGGCCAGCACTTCTGGAGCTGCAGCAGACCAAGGGCAGAGTCAGGGCTGGTGGCAAGAGGAGAGGGATTTGGGGTGGGGGCTGAAAGTCAGGCTTAGAGAAGCAGACTAGGGAAGACCATGGGATGGTGGTGTTTCTAGGAGACTGAAAACTCCCTAAGGCTAGGGGCTGTGTCTCTTCTGGGAAGACTAAGTCTTCTTGCAAAGAGAGACTGTGACTTCTCCATTAGTTTGTGAGTTTCCCCATGACAGGGTCGATGACTCCCCTGTTGGACTGGAGATCTCCAGGGCTATGTCTCCCCGATCACAGTGAGTATTCTCTGAAGGCAGGGCCTGTTTCCCCACTCAGATAGGGGATTCCCAGGGCAAGGGTGATCTCTCTCCCTTCAGACTTGGAGATCATCAGTGTAGGACTGTCTCTCTTCCACTAGACTAGGAGCCTCTGGGAGGCAGATGTTGAGTCTCCCCCATTAGGTTAGGAGATCCTGGAGCAAAGGCAGTATCTCTCCCATCAGACCGTGGGTACCTTCTGAGGGGAGGCATTTAGTCTCCCCCATCAGATTGAGAGCTTTCAGAGGGCATGAGCCATGACTTCCTCTGATTAGGAAGTCTCTACACTCCTCTGTGGAGTGTAGAGGGTTGCCTTCTATATTTATCGCAGCTACCAGAACTTTGTACCTGGTGGGACTCAATACCTACTGATGAGTGAATGACTTGACTTTCTGGGAGGGTAGATTCCCTCTCTTGAGTCAGAGCTCTGCTTCCCATTACCCAACTGCAAACAGGTGATTACTGGTGAAGGAGGAAGGGACAGGAGCAGATGTTCAGAGTTCCAACTTTCTCTCCTGTAGATCCCAATAATACTCTCCCAGGTGCCCTGCCTGCTCTCACTCTTTTTGGGTGCCCTGGAAACCTACAGGAATGTTCAAGCAGGAGGCTCCAGCTCTGCCAATTTCCCAGAGTGCTTCCTTGGGTGGACATTTAGGAGCCCATTTCTGGGTTCCTCAGGCCCAATTTCAATATCCTGTGCTTCCTGGCTCCCAACAACTGGGGGCTAATGTCTACTGCAGAGTGGGAGAAAGGAGTGGGGCCAGTGCTCAACCCCTCAGCTCTCTGCTGATCTCTGGGTTTGTGATCTTGTCTGCCCCTGGTCCAGCTGGAAAGACAAAGGCTCAAAGTCTACCTGCAGAAATGAGAGCCAAAGCGTAGGCAGGAACTGTGGAGGGCTCAGGGGTAGGCGGTCTTTAAAAATGTAGAATTTGAGAGCAGTAAGGACAGATCCTGAGATGGATGAATTGGCTGGCCCTAAACCTTGTAAGTGGATGTCCTACCTGGATAGCCCCTGAAGTTGAACCCTACGTTCTCAGAATTACCCCTTTCTGTGAATGATAGGCATGTGGATGAATGTAGCCAACTGGTCAACCTTCCTTCTGCTCCCAGACTTACCCACATAACCCGGGGTCCCACAGGCAGTGGACATGACGCCATTCTGTTCCATCTTGGACAGACCAAAGTCAGTGATCATGATCTTAGAGTTCTCTTCAGGGGTAAGGTACAAAAGGTTTTCAGGCTGTAGGAGAAAAAATATGTAGTGTAGGATATAACTACCTGAAGCAAGTATTTTCCTTCCCCTTGATACATAATTTCATAGGAAGCTGAGCCCTGGGCTCCTGACTTCAAGGCCAGCCCATCCTCCTCCATTTTTCCCTCCTTCCTCCTACCTGCACCCTCACCCCTGCACCCCAGCACTCTGCCTCTTGCTTATGGCTCTGACTTTGCTCAGTCTTATAACCATTAATATACTCACCCTTTCCTTCCCTTACTTCCAACTACCCCAGGACTGTTTGTGTTTTGAGGGAACCTATCTTTGGTTAATGGTGTCTGATCTCTCCAAAGTCCAGTGCAATGCCTAGTACAATGTAGGCCCTCAGTAAGTATTTTGTTACATTGGGTTTTGACTGTGGCTGGATTTAAGAAATGTGTGTATTATTTTGGTATCCAAATAGGGTAAGGCATAGTGAAAGGTTCAAGAAAAGATTGAGGTGCAAATTAGTAACCATTGTTCACTCATCCAAGGTCTGTTTAAGGAATCTAAGGGCAGAAGGGGCCTTGGGAGTCACTAGTCCAACCCTCTTACTTTATGGAGCTTAGATGTCCCATGACCCATGCAGCTTCCTTAAGAGTCATTATCTGTTTCCCACCCAGGACTCTCGGCTTGACACCTTTAAGTCTCTGTGGACGATGCCATTCTCATGGAGGTATTTCACCGCCGACAAGACCTGCTGGATCACCAGACTGGCATCCTTCTCTGTGTAGACACCCCGCTCCAGGATCCGGTCAAAGAGCTCCCCACCAGAAACACTGTGGGCATAGGATCAAGACAGGAATTCTGTTCTCATTTCAGGTCAAAGTAATGCGAAAGTGTTTGCTTTGAAGCCATGGGGGACACAGCTGTGGTGGAACAGGCAGGCACCCATGAACTGCGATTGAAGGGGTGCTGGAAGGACTACTCCAGTCTCAGAACACCCACTGTGGGCACCTGGAGTGATATCACCAGGCAGTCATTTCTTTGGGCCAAGCATTGACCTCTCTCTCTGACAATTTCCTTTAAAATGTAAATGCTTCCGGTTGGGGTTGCACAAGAAGCCAATAATTCCTTAGTGTGGACACACTTCTTAGCCACCTTCCTTCCTGGCCTATGACACAGGAAGCCATGATGAAAGAGAGGGCTGACACAGAAATTAAGCAAAGTAGGAAAGGGAAGGCATGAAAGTGAAACTAACTGTGCTTATATTAAGATTTCTTTCCTCATTTTGGGAAATTGGACTTCGTAAAGCTGGAATTACAGGTAGGGCTGTACGGGTGCTTTGAGACTCAAATGGTAGAGTATCTTAGGACTCAGAGGAGCTTAAAGATCAAGTCCGACTTCTATCTCGTGAATACTGTCTACACTATTTTTGCCTAGAAGTTTTCTAGTGAGTACTAGAACACTTAAGTGTCAGAGAACACTCTACCTCCTAAGACAGAGTGTTTTTTGGCATCTTCCTAATGTTTCTGTACATTATGTTGAAAGCTGATGTCCTGTCATACCAGTGCTACCAATTTCACCCATTGAGACTGCACAGAACAAGAATAACAGCCTTTCCTGTGTACCTTTCAAGTATTCAAAGATAGTGAAATGCTCTCTGGAGGCCTTGTCTTCTCTGAGATAAGCATTCCCAGACTATTTCAACCATGAGCCAGGGATTCTAGTCCTTTCACCCTCCTAGTCCCCCTTACCACTGTCCCATGACATTAGATGTGGTCATTCATGCCCAACTAGTGATGAAGGAACACAATTTCTCCAGTCAAAATTCACCTTATCCGGCCGGGCGCGGTGGCTCAAGCCTGTAATCCCAGCACTTTGGGAGGCCGAGACGGGCGGATCATGAGGTCAGGAGATCGAGACCATCCTGGCTGACACGGTGAAACCCCGTCTCTACTAAAAAATACAAAAAACTAGCTGGGCGAGGTGGCGGGCGCCTGTAGTCCCAGATACTCGGGAGGCTGAGGCAGGAGAATGGCGTGAACCCGGGATGTGGAGCTTGCAGTGAGCCGAGATCTGGCCACTGCACTCCAGCCTGGGCGGCAGAGCGAGACTCCGTCTCAAAAAAAAAAAAAAAAAAAAAAAAAAAAAAAAAATTCACCTTATCCTGCTCTTTGGCTTCCGGTCTTTAGACTTTGGGCTTTCCTATAGTAGCTGAAGGCCTGTAGGAAATGTGCTATTTGTACAGAGGTATGAATTCTTAACCCTGAGGGGCCTGAGTCCTGGAGCTATGCTCTGAGGAGGCTTGGTGTCTCCTCAGGGACGTCCAACCCTGCCCATCTCCTTGCCTCCCTGCCTTCTGAATTACTGTGTGCTAATACTGTTGGCTTGGCCTCATTGAAGTACCTGATGGTCCCTGATCACCTGTTAGTGCCACTAGGGGTCCTTCCCATCTCACTCCCTTGACTGCCTGCTACCTCTCTTTAGAGGCCCTCAGATGACCCCCCAGTTAATCAGCTGCTTAGGCCTGAGTTAGCTCATTAAAGTTTCTTAGGAATCAGCCCATCAGCCAAAAATCATGTTGTGTCCAGCCACGCTGAGATTGCAGAGTGGTGTGTGAGTGCGTGTGTGTGTGCATGTGCAAGTGTGTGTATTTGTGTGTGTGTGTACTTTATAAACAGAAGTGTCTTTGAGCCCAATGCTGAGTCCTCATGAACACCGACCAACCTCTATAGCAGTCGCTGTCAGGCAGAACTGTTGTTTGGATGTGGCAATGACACAGAGACCTTGCTAATGAAGCACCACTTCTGTCCTACAGGTGGACACGCACAATCACAGCCCGTCTTTAACTTTGGGTGGCTCTCTTTTGAGAAAATCTTTCTTTATATTGAAATATATCTACCTGTGGCTTCTGCTCCTACAGTAATTTTATGCTGGAGTGATGTTAAAACATTTACTATCCAATTTGATTAACATGTATTGGTCCAAATGGACTGAAGCCATGGTGCCAGGAAAGGGTTCTGGCAACTCCTTGTTAGTCTGGCATTACCCCTTCAGTTGTTTGGTTGCAAGGGGCGAGGAGGGGTTGGGCAGCAGAAGGACATGGATGGGTTGGGGTCGCAGCTATTTGCTGACTAGTAAGAAATGTTCTAACAACCGATAGGGTTGTCCTGGTGCAAAGGAGCTCAAAAATCAACCCAGGTTTACCCTGTGGCCCACATAGAACCTGCCCATGACCAAAGGCACACTCAGTCTAAAAGGACCCTTGGCATTTCTGAGCCTCCTGAATGAAGTCTTCATTTTTGTCTTTGAATCGCTGTCCATCCCTCACCAGCGACCAACCTCCTCTAGGCCTCCCCCACACCACCAGGCCTCTGTGGAGGAAGCAAGTCGCCTATCACTTACAGCTGCATGACCAGGTAGTAGTGGGTGGTGCTCTCGTAGATGTCCTCCAAGGTCACAATGTTTTCATGCTTGATCCTGGGAAAAATAAAGTGCATGATGAACGGTATGTGATTCAGGTTGTCCAGACAAAGAATGCAGACCTAGCCCAAAAGCTTCTGTTGGAGGCTTTTGATGGCAATGTTTAGGAAGACTAGGTCTTTGTGAAGTCTTCATAATAAGTTGACTGTCACAAATTAATCCCAGAGAAAAGATTCCTATGGTGGTGCTCGGTCTGTGTTTACTGAATGAACAATTGATCATCCTTCCTTCAGGGAACAAACACTTCCTTGTTATGCCAGGAATCTCTTTAAACTTTACTAAAAGAGACAGTTAGAAGAATGGAGGAAGGCTAAGGGAATACCTGACTCTAGGTTATTCTACAAAGTGGGTATTCAGATGTTAGAAATATTGCATTTAAAAAGTACAGGTTGAGTATCCCATATCTAAAATGTTTGAGACTAGAAGAGTTTTTGGAATATTTGCATGTACATAATGATATACCTTGGAGATAGGACCCAAGTCTAAACATGAAGTTCGTTTTTGTCTCATGTGTACCTTATACACATAGCTGGTAGGTAATTTTACACAATATTTAAAAAATAATTTTGTGCATGAAACAAAACTTTGAATGCATTTTGACTGTGACCTGTCACATGAGGTCAGGTGTGGAATTTTCTATTTGTGGCATCCTGTCAATGGTAAAAATGTTTCTGACTTTGGAGAATTTTGGATTTTAGAGTAGGAATGCTCAACCTGTATACAATGGGAAGGATTCAGGTGAGCTGAGCCTCCTCTTGGATAACCACAGAGGAAGTGTTGAAAAATTAGTGTTCCAGGATATCGTGAGAAGCAAGGTAGATGCTTATTTTTAGGGTGAGTTCTGTGGGATGACTTAGATAGGTGATTCTCAACCAAGGACTCTTTTGCCTCTCAGGGAACATTTGGCAATATCTTGAGACATGTTTGATTGTCACGACTAGGGCAGGGGGAGGTGCTGCTGGCATCTAGTGGGTAGAGGCAGAAATGCTGCTAAACATCCAACAATGCACAGGACAGCCTCCAACACCACAAAGAATTATCTGGTTCAAAATGTCGACAGCATCATGGTGGAGAAGTCTGGCCCTCTATTACCCTTGTTCGGGGTTACTCAAAGACTGCATCATGCAGAATAATCGTATTAGCAGAGGGGCTTGGCCTGCCAGGCAGCAATGCTATGCATGCCTGTAAAGGAGAAAATTCTCTAGGAATTTTACTCCTGGCTGTGCAGCACAGGGGTTAAGGACTTAAACTCAGACTCAGACTCAGTCAGGCCTGCGTTCACATCTAGTTCAGGCAATTAGGTAACTTCAGCTGGCTTATTCCAGTTTTCAAACCCTTAATTTCCTTGTCTGAAAAGTATGTGTCTCTTATAGAATTGTATCAGGATAAAAGGAGATAATGCATAATGCTTAATACAGTGCCTGGGGAAGGGTAAACACATAATCAATAGTAGCTATCTTCTTTACGATATTTTAGAAAATATAGACCTGTGGCAGTTGTCACTTGATGAATTCAACTATACTCATAAGCTGGCAATGCTGACATTAGTTTATCAATTATTCACTCACTGAACAAACATTTATTGAGCATAAATACTGTTGATACAAGGCAATAATAAGAAAGATGACATGGTCCTTGCTCTCAATTAGTTGGCAATCTTTCTTTGCCCTAATCTCCCTGGATCCCAGACCTATGTCTCTAGCATGTTACAAAATGCCTTCATGTTGAGATAGGTGGATACTTACATTCAGTATATTCCAACCAATTTCTTTCTATTTCATCCAAGCGTACACATCCTCTTTGTTCTCTATCCCAAGCAATGACATAGTTGTCCACTTAATTGCTCAATCTTAGGGTCTCTTTTGATGCTTTTGTCTTGTACACTTTTAGCAGTCAACCCCAAACCCAGTCACTTCTCCCTTTGAAACATCTTTTGTAATCTAGTCCTTTTAGGCACACATGATTCTGCCACCACCTTCTCTTGTATTCTCAACCCATGCCTAAATTATTGTGAAAGTCTTATAATTGGCCTCCTGTCCTCTAGGCTGGCACCCTCCAATCCATCCTCCACCATGCTTGAGAGAGATAGCTCCAACATGTTAATCAAACAATGTGACTCCTCACTTAAAATCCTTTGATGACTTCTTTTTGCCCACAGAATAAAGCCAACATTCCTTATCATGCCATCTAAGATCCTTTGTAATTAAGTCTTATTTCACGATTTTAGTTTCATCACTTGTCTCTTAATACTATGCACTCTAAATTCAAGGATTTCAAATACTCACTCTTCCCTAAAATCCCTTGCACTTACATCGTTCTACATTAAAGTTTATGCTACTCTTGGCCTGAATTCCCTTTCTGCACTGCCCTTCTTGCCCCCACAAAGTTTGACTCATCCATCAAGGTCCATCTTCTTTGAAAGTGGTCCAATAACTCATACTCATAAAAACACACATATAGGCAAAATGAATCTTTATCTCCTCCAAAGTCTGCCTTCTGCTAGTGTGACTTACATCTGATTTTGTTGGATTTTCTTATGGGCACCTCTGTATCCAACGTAGGCTCCTGAGGGTACAGAATTTTGTCTGCCTCATCCTTGTGGTCCTGATCCTGTGTTCATGTGCCTAATACACTTTTGGTACACCATAAGGGTTTCACAAGGGCCTGTTGTAAGAGTCTTGCTGTAAATATTTGATGATTTGTAGTGTCGCCTTCATTATGATGGTTGGGGTGCTGAACCTCTGTTTCCTTTGGTATAAATTGAAGCTAATTTTGAAATCTTACGCTGCTTCCTTAATTATTAATTCTTCCTGATGCTGGCCCTCAATTGATTTTTGTTCCTTTGAGCTAATTACTCTCCAGCCTATGTGCACAAACCAGTTCTGCCACCAGTGGGTTTGCGCATCAATTTGCTGCCAAAAAA